CAACACAGAACATTTCATTTCTCTGGCAGATCTTCCCAGTCTCAATCCGCATGATTGGATTCTGCTATACAACATTCTTCTCTCCAATCATAGAGAGTATGAACCGATTCTGAAACATCTCAAAAGAATGTTGGCTTCCTACATCCATGAGCTCGCCACTATGGATAAGGAAATAGCAAAAATTATGAACAAGAAACCGACCGTCAAGCCTACTTCCAAGACAGGAGACGTTCACAAAATGAAGTTAGGGCAAATTGACTCTTCAAATCTGACGGTCATGTTCACAAAAGGCGACAAGCACAAGTTTCTGTTTGCTTTGGTAGACAAGCATCTGTTTTCAACAGATTGTCTGGAACATATTATAAACATCATTCACCGATGCAAGCAGAACTCCACAGCAGACAAGAAGAACTTCACTGATATGCTTTGATGGTATATTACCTTCAGGCATCACATTCTGGCTATTATACCGAGGATTTTTGAAACAGTAAAGAAGCCTTCTGCTGTTAAAAGGGAATGAAGATTTTGTGCCAAAGACGCAAAGGGGGAGATTGTTGAAGATTAATGTGTTGCGTCTTGGGCCCTTTTGTTTTACAACCGGATTGGGCTTGTCAATCCGTGTTTATCTAGATTAGCCCTCTTTTTCTTAGAAAAACTGTTAGGGTTTTATTATAAATATATGCATGCATGTATGCGTATAGAAAAAATTTATCACTCTCATTGATTATTGTAAACCCTAAAATCCTCTACAGTTGATTTTCTTTATCGAGCTCTTCTGAGGATTGTTTATTAAATCATTCGACACCTTTGATCCATTAGTTTGTTCTTAATTGTTTATCTAGTCATTTATCTACCGGTTTCATAGATCTAATCGATCTTTAAGTTTGTTTCATACTCATCATATGGAAAAATCAAAAACAAGTGCTTCATTTACTATAAATGCAAAATATTACATTTAGTATTTACAATCTGATCTAAGGTTTATCTACAACTTATTGCATTAGAATTTGTAAGGACTAGAACTTTCTTGAAAGATCTCAATGCTTTTGGTGTTTAGAAAAAGAGTGGAATCATCTACTCTTATTCTTGTAAAAACCCATTTTTTTTCATCCACTAACTGTTATGGATGCAATGAGCAACCATCGATCCAGTAAGTCTTATTTTCATCTATTGACTCATAATCTGGTAAAACCTCAAATTCCCTCATCTTGATCTTGGTAAGATAATGCTTTCATGGATTTGAATCAGTTAACTCGTTGGTTAGAAAGACTGATCTCTATTTCTCTTTTGCTCTTAATAAATATGAAGCAGATATAAAATGATTTAATGATAAATGGCTTCATCACTCTTGACTCATGGTGAAAGATTTGATGGAACGAGTCTTTATCACCTTTCTGAAAAAGCTGCACATATTTTGCTGTTTAAACTATTTTCTTGTTTGACTAAATCTTTTGTTTGTATTCTTATATTGTTTATTCTTTTGTAATATTTTCCAAAGAAATGCGAAAGTGGCAATTTTGAGCCTAGTATGCAACTTTTGACACATCATCGTCCCTAGAAGCATGCTGTTGTATGTGACAAAATCTCTCTAAGTTTCTCATTAGCGAAACCATCTTCTGTGAACATTGAGTCACCCTCTCATGCTGATCGTCTAGCATTGTCTAAACAATTAAAGTGAGATTGTTTGGTCCAAATAAAAAAATATTGATAAAAAGGTTGGGGTGTTTATTTTTTATTTTAATGATCTTTACATGACCCTATCCCTATGCTTGTCATATGCATCAAGTATCATGAACTGCTGAAACATTAAGCATAACCCAATCACTTACCTTGCTTGCATAGTCATCAATGTAAGAGATACTTGTTAGGTTCTTAAATGACAAAGGGTTGTTCATGTCCCTGGCCTCCTGGTTTGAGGTATTACATAGTACCATTATCAATTAATAGTGAATCTTTGATTCTAGATTGAAACTTACTCTATGGTATGGAAGCTTAAACCACTTCTTGTTGATGGGTTAAACCGTTAATGATTCACGCTGATTTCACCTCATCGTGACTAAAACAATCCACTATCTCTATACGTCTTCTAATACAGAACTTGATGATTCACTATGTAAAACCATACATTGATAAAAGTTTGAAAGTCTATGCTGATGGTTAGTCTATGTATTGTATGCGATCACACGCACCGATCCATTCTTGCTCTTACATTCTTCTTTAAAGTTTTATGATTCAACGTAATGTACCATACCCTGATGAGAGCTCGAAAAATCTATGCCGATGGGTATATCATTGTCAATGATAGATTACATGCACCTATCCATTCTTCCCATTTTCTTCTAATAAAGAGATTTATGATTCAATGTATGAAACCACATGCTGATGAGATCTCACAATACTATGTCAGTGAATGGTAGTTTAGCTGCTGATGTCAAGAATAGGGAGAAAATGAAAAACACATTCTAAGGGGGAGTCGAGTGAAGCTGATGCCAACGTTCTCAGCTCAGGTCAAGCTCATTATCTATTCGTCTGTCATCTGCTGCAATTCATAAATGGTTGATAAGTCATTAATCTTCTCGGGGGGGGGGGGGGGGGGGGCATTTGTTAAAACTGCAAGAGTGAAGATTTCATTCTTACTCTCAGGTGGAGCACAAGGCAAAATCATTCCACTTATATACAAAGGAAGTTTAGTTTTGACATTATCAGATAGGGGAAGATTGCAAGATCACACCTTATGATCAGATGAGTCAAACACCGAACACTTTGATCTATCAGCGTTAGCGTCTACTACATCTATAATGCCAGCGTATCAATCTTATCAGCGTCAGCTTACAGTTTAGTTATCTAATTGTAATCTTTTGTATATAATGTGTGACCTTACAATCTCCCCTATCTGATGATGTCAAAACTAAACTTCCTTTGTATATAAGTGGAATGTTTTGGCTCGTGCTCCACCTGAAAGTAAGAATGAAATCCCTTCCATCAAGGGATTTCAATGTTAGGGAAATCCATTCAATCAAGAGATATACATGTATGGATTAGTATATATACAAAATTAGGGTAAACCCTAACGTTCCTATCGTGGCTTTGTGTCAATCGTCTTTCTGACAAACCCGTCTTCTTGGTGAAGACAAAACTCTTTCTTAGTGAAAGAGCAATTTGAGAACTTTTGTGTTATTTAATTTTTGTTTATTATTTTGTTTAGATTAGTTTTATGTTTGTTATTCATATTTGAAGTGTATCTGATCTATAAAAACCTTCATTTACCATGATTGCATTTTCATCAGTGTAAGAAATACTTGTCAGGTCCTTAATTGACAATGGGTTATTCCAAGTCTTCTAAACTAGAGCTTAAAGATTCACTATATAATATCAAACACTGATAAAATTTCGAAACTCTATGATGATGGTTATACTATGTACCATAGTCTATCACAAGCACCAACCCCTTCTCATCCTACTTTTCTTCTTAAAATTTTCATGACTCGGTGTAAGATGTCAAGCGCTGATGAGAACTTGAAAAATCTATGTCGATGGGTATATCTTGTTCCAGGGTATATTACATACACCTACCTACTCTTTCCATTTTTATTCTAGTAAAATAAGTCAATGATTCGGTATATAAAACCATACACTGATAAGATTTCGCAGTACTATGTCAATGATTTATTGTATCACAAAATGTTATCAGGAAACATTACTAACCCATCCATTATTCCACTGCAACTCATGATACACTGCTACCTTTTGCTACAACTCGTGACACGCAAATACATTGTACGTCAATATGTAATACGATATTTTAAAATGGTAATTCTCTAAAAGTAACTTTCAGAAGAGGATAAGAATGCAAACCATTAAGTTGAGATTAGAGATTTTTATGAAACCTTTTCTCCCACAATGATATGTCGAAGGTGAGCGGATTTTTGAATATAAGTAGGGGTTTTCTCTCTCTCTCTCTCTCTCTCTCTCTCTCTTAGGTCACTCCATTTCTCTTTTCAAGCGAACTGTCTCAAAATCCCACTCTGATCATTTTCATATTCTTCAAAAGTTCTGCTACTTTAGTTCAAATTATTCAAAGACATCATCAATGGCTAGAGTTATATTTGCTTTCGTTCCTGCTATAGATGTTGTAAAGGCTCCAAATACCCCATGACACGCCCATTGTCATCCAAGCCAACAATGTCGCATTCTCAGATGCCATTCTACTATAACATCAAAATTCAGGCATTGAAGACTCTGTTGAATATTTGAAGTGATGCCCTCTTCTCTATGCCCTAAGTGACATTCTAGAACCCTTCTTCCCAAAGCAAGTGTGTGAGTTCTATTACTGATGTACATTTGATGTATATGCTTAAACGATCTTTTGAACTATCAAAGATGTTCATTCAAGGGTTGACATATGTACAACACTCATTCAACAAGTCCTTCGTCTCCCTTGTTCAGACGCATATGACGAGAAACCTTCTGAAGCCAGATGCAGATCAATTCTTCCACAAATTGGGTATGATCTTTCTCTTTAGGGAAAATGAGACCCTACAAAATATTTTCTTCATTAGTTTCTTAATTTTGGATGAAATATCTTATGAGGGTTATAGGGAATCTAGGGTAGAAAACTGGCAGCTTATACCAGTTGAATTTGTTTGAGTTAAGAATTCTATATGCCATCAGTTGTAACAAAAACCTAGATTTTGCTCAATTTTTCTTCGATCATATAGTGGACTATATCAGCGGAAACAAGCATCCAACATATGTGCCATATCGACACTGGATTCCTCTTCTTGAGGTACATACTAGAATGGGTTATAACATTAATCATGGGGCATCTATTCCAGCTCCAATTCTTTCCTAAAAAATAATCAATGCAGACCCCAAAGAAGGAGATATTCACTTATTTCAGTGAATGCTTCTTTGGGTAGAACATTTGTATAATTATGAGGATGTAGAAGATGAAGTAGATGAGGATGAACAATCCAATAATTTCTTCCATCCAGGATGAAATGATGAAAAAAGAATCCAAGAATTCCTCTAGTGACTTAAGTGCCTCCTCACCTTACAACAACGCAAATATTGAATTGGTTGTTGGGCCTAACCAAGAAATAATGGTTATTGCTCCTTCACCTATTCAGTTTGCACATTGTGAGAATGAAGATGAAGTTGAAGGTTAGTTATCTGACTCTCTAATGTCAGTCAGGGTATCTCTTCCAAGACTAAATAAACACATTCTTTTTCACATCTCCATTTTAGTCAGAGTTAAGAATTCTATATGCCATTGGTTTTAACAAAAACCTAGATTTTGCTCAATTTTTCTTCGATCAGATAGTGGACTGTATCAGCGCAACAAGCATCCAAAATATGTGCCATATCAACACTGGAGTCCTGTTCTTTAGGTAAATACTAGAATGGGTTATAACATTAATCACGGGGCATCTATTCCAACTCCAATTCTTTCCTAAAAAAATAATCAATGAAAACCCTAAAGAAGGAGATATTCACTTATTTCAGTGAATGCTTCTTTGGGTAGAACATCGTAATTATGAGGATGTAGAAGATGAAGAAGATGAGGATGAATAATCCAATAGTTTCTTCCATCCAGGGTGAAATGATGAAAAAGAATACAAAATTTCTCTAGTGACTTAAGTGCCTCCTCACCTTACAACAACACAGATATTGAATTGGTTGTTGTGCCTAACCAAGAAATAGAGGTTATTGCTGCTTCATCTATTCATTTTGCACTTTGTGAGAATGAAGATGAAGTTGAAGGTCAGTTATTTGACTCTCTGATGACAGTCAGGGTATCTCTTCTAAGACTGAACAAACACATTATTTTTCACTCTCCTTCTCCTTCTCCTAAACCAATGACACGATATGGATCAACTACTAACATCTCCATCCGAACCAATCCCATAACATGAGACTCCACTTCATGCTAGTGCTACTGGTGCTACTTCGACACAGCCTTCTCCCCTTTAAACTGCTGCTACTTTTAAGGGGAGTCTAGGTCATCTTATTTTGAGTCATACATTCTTTCCAATCTTACGATGCTAGTCAACTTGATTGAGTCATTGGGACAATGTCTGAGCAATCTTGAGTTTGATGTGGCTCACATAAAGTGCATTGTTCTATGGTGGAGGACACTAAAGATATTTTTGATTCTCCTTCTAGTTCTCATCACAATGATCAAGCTCTAGTACTACTACCACCTTCTCCTACTAGTAACAATCCTCCAGCTCTATTTCAACCACCTCCTCCTTCAAATCCTCCACCTACAATTCCCTTCCACCTCTCAACACTTCTTCAAGATCTCCTCCAGGTTCTCCTCTACACGCTAATGATGAAAAAAGGGGGAGAATGATAAATAAATAGTAGTATATGCTGATAACGCTAATAATTTTGAAGATGTCAGCCTGATATTGGTGATGATGAAGGTTTTCTAGATACCAATTTCATGCCATGAGCTATGCCTCTAAACATTATTTACCTAGAAGCTAATCCTGATGGCAAGACTCCTCAAGGCATTGATAGTGATGTTGAGTCTGATGATGATCAGCTCATCACAAGAAAATGGAAGACCACCTCCTTAAGTGGAGTTCATGATGCTGGTGAAGGCTCCTTAGCTCCTCCCAGCAAGAAAAGGAAGCTCACGGTCAATCTAGACACATTGGCCAGGGACTGTAGATTGCCAGTTGAGGAGGTCTGATAAATTCTCACTAAGCTTAATGATTTTAAGAAACAGGAGAATGATGAACATCGTTCCTCTAAGCTTGCGTTGAAGGATGCCTCTGTTAATGGAGGCATCAATGTACAATGGTCAAATCTCCATCACTTTAACAATTTGGTCTCCAAACAAAAAAGGATCTTGGAGCTAAATTATCTTATTGATCGGAAAAAAATTTGAGAACGTTCTAGTTCAAAGAATAAACCTCTTCCTATCATTAAGGTTAGGTGTACTAAAGTCAATGATGAAATGCTGAAGGTTCATCTAATCAGAAAGAAAGCTGAGTATGAATACACTGAAATTGTGTTTACTCGTGAATTGGTCAACTATGTTTATAGCGAGTGGACTTAGCTTTAGAAGTTATTTTCTAAGAATAAAAGCATTCATGCTCAGGAGTTGAAGTTTGCACTGCAACAAATGATTAATAAAGTAAAAAAAGCTAAATTTAGTGCCTTCATATCCTCTTTCTTGACATTCTACCTCAGCATCGGCCACAAAGAAAAGGCAATCCAAATTTGAAAAGTTCCTTCTTCCTATTGGCATTATCTACATCAACAACAGGTTACCATTGGGTATCGAGCCGATTCCTCACTTGTTCATTCAAGAGCCTGATCATGGTATATTCTATCTCGATGGACAAAATTAGATGTGCTTTCAATGCACAAAAGAGCTTCACGTTTCTCCCACAGAGCATATGTTTCATTTCCAATTGGAGTGCATGGTGCACGAAGAAGTGGAACAAGACTATCACTGCTGATCTCGGTAGAACTAAGCAATCACATTGAAGAGATTAAATTAAATGAGATAAATTCTAGTGGATGAAGCAAGAAATATTGGATGAAGCTGATGATTGCATTTAGAGTTGGTTTTGACATCATCAGATTAGGGGAGCTTGTAAGGTCAAAACTTATAATCTGACAAGTCAAATACACGATGACCATCACCTCTAACTCCAACACCAACGCCACTGCTAACGTCAACATCTGTACGTCTTCAATGTTAGCGTGTGATCTCTTGTACTAGTTTATTTATTATGTATTTTTATGTGACATCCCCATATTTTACGGCCAGAAAAGACCTATTTTTTTTGTCTATGCTTTGTAAAAATCAGAGTACTTCTTTTCATAAAAATGCTGCGGAATTTGTTCCCAGAAAAATACGATAAATACGTTATCAAAACATTTTCGCAGAAACATATTTTATTCATTTTAAAACGTTTGGGATGTCATCGTCAATACAGGAACATAAGCATAAACGGACTTACATTTATTTACACTAGTGATCTACATCTCTTTAATCTCTCAGTGTAATGTCACTTCATATCGACACATGTGATATAAATAAACTGAGTGGGTCAGGTTGGGAAACATGGTGAGTACATAGGGTTTTCAACCCACAATAATATAATTATTAGGATAAATTACATCATTCGTCCCTTGTGCATGTGTTAGAAAGCACGTTTAGTCCCTATTTTAAAAAATTAACTCGGACCGTCCCTCGTTTGATTTAACCTTGCACGCTTCATCCCTTAAAAAAGATTTTGTTTCGAATTTAGTCCGTGCTAAATTTTAAAAGACCATAATGCCCTTCTAGTTTTATTTTTTAATTAATTTAATGTTTTTATTATGATTTAGAAATTAAATAACAATAAATCCCCCCCCCCTCTTCGTTTTCCCCAACCCATTCATTATTACTGATCGGAAACAAACCCTGAAAACCTAAACTGTGATTTTTGGTTAACCCTCCTTTTTCTCCCACTACCGTCGTCGAATCCACACCACCTTAATCCCTTCCAAGAGCCACTTGAACCACCACTGACTGCCACGCCTCCGAATTCCCTCATCACGGAAATCAATGGCTCTAGTAAGACGTAATGGAGGTTTGATTTTGCGAAACAGACAAACATGAATTGGGGTTTTTCTGGATCGTTAGGTTCCGAAGAGCCCTTTATTTCTCCTCATTGCACATGTGATTATAGGTTTACCGGACTGAAATCCATTCAGATGTACATAGGGAAAACATGTTTTCAAAAGAAAGGAGTTCTCTAGAGAAATTAGATAAAAAAAATGAAGGAATTTGGGAGGAGAAATTGATGAGAGTGCGTCATAGCTGTCATCGATTCTTGAATGGAGTGTTAAGTATTTTGATATTCGATTGATTTCTATGAGAAAAATGCCACCATTTGTGGCCTTTTCTACTTTGGAAATGAGAGGTTGAATGTCAATGTTGAAGGATCCAAAACGCCAATTACACACATAGCAGAAGTCATCGGCGGAGTTTCAGATTGAGGGTTTACAATCGAGGCATTGGCGATGATTGGTGGTGGTGTCGGAGGAATAAGTCAGGTGCACTGGTGACATTTTAAACAACAACAAAGGTGATTTAAGGGTGAACGAAGATGGTAGCAAGTGGTATAAGGCGGCGATGGTGATTTGGTTTAGTGATGAAGTTCTGCGAAGTAGATGAGAATCGGGAAGAAAGGAAGTAGCGTAAAGACGGGTGGGGATTTTTTGTTTAACTGGTTTGTAGATCATGGTAGTGGTAGGATAAGGGGTTGAAGATTTTGCGTCCGACCACAATCTTCCTCATATCCTCTCATCTCCCTTCTTCGTTTAACTTATTTGTAGATCAAGTGTATGGATTTGGTTTTGATTTTAGGGTTTAATTCTAGTTTTTGTTGGAGATGAATGGTCGTGTTTGCCAGAGTTGGCTTGTGGCCTGAGGTGATGGATGGCCGAAGGTGGCTGGTGGTCGGAAGTGACCGGTGGTAGGAGGTGGTTAATGATCGGAGGGGTTAAAGGGAAATTTTATTTTCTAAAAGTTATAATTAAAAAAAAGTAGATAAATTATAAACAAATGAAAATAAATGAAAAAGAAAAAGAAAAGGGCAAGATAGTCATTTTATGTATGCGAGGGACGAAACATGTACCTTTTAACGATACGAGGGACGGTCCGAGTTAATTTTTGAAAATAGGAACTAAACATGCTTTCTGGCATATACATGAGGGATGATTTGTGTAATTTACCCTAATTATTATGTTTAATCATCAAATACTTAACCCAATTACCCATCCCCATTATCTTTTTTATTCTTAAGGATCTACCCTAAGAATCAGTTATTTCTAGTTCATTCATTCCTAAGGATTATCCTAAGGAATAGGTACGAAGTCCATCGTTTTCAATGACACAACTGTCAAGCACAGCTGCTAGTTCTATCACTTAGGCGCAGCTGCCAGAATTCTGACATTCTATATGAGGCGCAGCTGCCAGTATTGTCCTTCGAGCACAGCTGCTAGGGTTATCTCGTTTATTGATAATATTGTTTGCGAGAGTTCACTCGCAATATATATCAATGGGTTTCTAGAGTACATCGGTGAACACGTCGTTCACAACACCTACAAGTTGCGAGCCTGCTAGTGTTCCACTGGACTGTCTAGAATAGTCCGTGGTTGTCATCCATACTCTGCTGAATGACGGGGCCATCATTTGGGAAAAAACTTCTCACATCGTCCACCTCTCACCCTCACCTCACAGTCTATTTCACCCCTCAACTCATCATCCAACTCATATTTCATCTATTACATCTACCCATGTCTTACCCCAACATTTTCGTAGATATAAAATAAATATACAGTTTAAATCATTTAAAACGTGTATAAAATCATTCACCCAACATAGATAGCAAATATTCAGATAATATGCACACATAGCACGTAATTTATATAAAATACTTCATATCTATGTGTAAGCTAAAAGTAACTATGCACTCACCTGAAAAGTGGTGACTCAGCACTCGGAAAGCACTTCGATACTCTTAAAACAATTTTCCTTCGATAAAACCTACTATTAATACCACTAGGGTTTAGTCTAACGATAACCGCAACCAATTAATATTATGACTATTATTACTATTATATAAGTGTTAAATAACACTCAATATAACTCATAATAATAGCCCAAATAATTATTTTAAGGACCTAATAACATTACAATAATTAATTCAAAACTATATTAAAAATAGCATCGGCGTAGCTCATTTACATTGGGTTTTATCGAAAATCGGGCTTTACTGGAGCAGCGTTCCCGAGCCAAAAGGCTCCTCCTCTCGGAGCTTCCCAGTGCTTCGGGACTTGCTTCTAACACCTTGGAGGTGCTAGGGAAAAACCTTGAAGGTTTGGGGGTATTTGGGAGGAAAGAAGTGAAGAGTTGTGAAGAAAATGGGAGAGTTGCGCCTCTATTTATAGGCTGCCAGCACCGAGTACACCGAGCGTACTCAAAAATTACACTAAGCGTAATGGTTACGCTGAGCGTACTCAAAATTACGTTGGGCGTAATGTGCCACGTGTCACCATCTTGTGGCTAGCCTTGGGGAGGAAGCAACGGCTGTGATCGCGCCACGTCACCCAAACTCGCACAGCACCCTCCCGACTTAGAAAAATCATAACTTTCGCATAGGAGCTCCGTTTTCGACGTTCTTTATATCCACTTGAAGGCGGGAACGTACTCTACAACTTTTGTTTTGACTCCGTCGGCTAGTTTTGAACTTATTTTAAATTTTATATTTTTAACAGGCCGGGACATGATTGGTCTGTTAAAAATTCATAACTTCTTCATCCGACGTCCGTTTTCGTCTGTATTTTTATGGTTATGCTAAAAATAATGAGATTTTTAATTCTCATTTAGGTTGTGTTGGCTAAAAACCGCTCGATCTAGTATTCGAATTTTGGGTTTGTACACGGCTAAGCCGAAACTTCGAAAAATCATAACTTCTTCATACGAAGTCAAATTTGGGCGTTCTTTTTATGGACGCTCTCGGTTTAACGTATTCTATGACTTACATTTAGATTGCTAAGGATAAAACTCACTCTATCGTAAATTCACTATTTACGCTTCCCAGTGCCATGTCGGTTCCGTCGCGAAACTTCGACGGGTCATAACATCTTTGTTATAACTCGGATATCGGCGTTCTTTATATGTACGGAAACCATGTGACATATACTACAACTTGGTTCAAATTATTTATTTTAAATAATCTTTTGTCGAAAACTCCTTTTCGACATTTATTGCCTCTAAATTGACTAGCCCGGATCTACGGGCGTTACAATTATCTCCCCCTTAGGATGATTACGTCCCGGAATCATCAACGAAACATGGCTCACGTGATGACTCCATACATTATCTCTTCATCCTAAGTCATAACTTCGATGTTTCTTGGAACGAGTATCTAACTCTTAGTCTCCTTGACTACAGGCGGTGCTCGATCTTGCATCCGCTCTCAATCTCACGTTAGACTCCAAATTATGACCTTCAAGTCACAATGTCAATCCTCAGTTGATACGAACTTAAGATAAGTTCTTTTATTACTACAATGGAACGATGTTTTATATTCTAATGACCTATCATCGTGTGATGCACGTTTAGACTCAGGTCTCTTAGAGTTAAATTCCAAAACAAGCTATACCTTCCTTCATGTTCTAATGTGATATAATCACATTTTAAACGGTAGCATTTCTAGCTACAAATAACTTTTCGTGATACTTCTACTGATTGATTTGATTAATTCTTTCGTCTTAAGTCGGATGCTACATCGACCTTGATTTTCTAAACCACATAGAATACTTAGCGTAGTCGGACTCAATTCGATATGACCACTAAGGTCGGAATATCAACAATCTTCTTTGTCATTACCGAAACGATGGTAACAACACACTTGAATAAAACAAAATCAATTACTAGTTTCTTGGTAACCTTGTGACATTCCCTTATGCAAGTGTGAGTCTTGTGCTTCCGGTAATATAGGCCTCTACTACCATTCACACCTATTCATACTAGTCCCGATTATTGTCCCGCAGTTTTTCGAAGGCACCATAGAAAAAAAAAAATCACATAACAGTTTAACACACCAGATAACAAAACGATGGTTTTATATTATTCCTTGAAACTATTACATAGGTGTTCAAGTTCATCCTGGACTAAGCCTCTAATAGGCTACACCACGTGGTACTATCTACATGACTACTTCATAACTTCATCTTCGGTCATCCGTCCTTACTCTTGATTCCTTGCATTGCCAGCTGCTTTGTAAAGGATGCTCCTTAGCTTTGGAGGTGCATTCGCTCATGCTGCTTCATTTTTCTTCGGGCAGTCCCTAGATAAATGTCCTTCTTTGTTACATATAGAGCATACCTTACTCTTAGACGTGCACCTGCTAGCGTAATACCCTATCCTTCCACATTTGTAGCATGTAACCTTCTCATCGTATCCCTCATAGTGCTTTAGTAGTACATTTGGCATCGTTGCTCTCATCGGACAATCTTGCTTGAAGTGTCCTTCTCCACTACAAATAAGGAAAACTTGCTCCTTGGTTGAGCATTTATGGGAACTATGACCAATCTTCCCGCATTTGAAGTAGGTTACTTCCTTATGGCATCTCCTGTTACACCATTTTGCTTTACCTCTTCCTCCTCTAGACTATAAAAATAAGTTTTTCCTGTTGGACAAAATAAGTTTTTCCTGTTGGACCTTCAAGATCCCTCAAATTTCCTCTTCTTTCCAACTTCAACCTTGTTGGCGATCCTATCATTGATCTTTTCTTTGATGGTCTTAGCAACCCAGATGGTTGCCTCAAGAGCGGGTGCCTGGCGTACTGGCACAGTAAGTTCGTCCTTACTTTGTTGAATTAAGCACCTTGTTTCTCTCATTTGTTGATCCAACATCATCCGCACCATTTCCTGTACTCCTTCCATCGTGATTGGCTCGGGTACAACTGCTACTTCTGGTGTACGCTCAATCACTTGTAGCTTAGGCTGCGGGTTACTATCTCTGAATCCGCTTTGAGTGTTCATCATGTCGATCTATACATCAAACTTAGATGTCCAGCGTAGAGTGACGAGAATTTAGATAGAG